CTTGCAAGTGAGGCTTGTAGGTCGTCTGCTCACGTGCAATCCACTCAGGAATCTCTTCATTATAAAAGAGTTTGGCAAGATTATCGTGATTAATAGGAGCGATAGACCACTCCACACGTTTTTAAGGAAAATGAAAACTCTATCATCTACTTAAGACCTGTTGACTCAGTCTAGCCAGGAATGTTCTAATTAAAATGTTTGCAAACCAAAAACAAAAAAATGTTCGGATTTCACGACTCTTAAGAAATCAGAGGTCACCTGGGCTGACCTCTTTGGGAGTACTCCCTGGGTGTTACACAGTCATCCACAGGGCTTGAAGCAAGATGTGGAGGCTGGTGTTCAGAATCTGGGACTTGCATCTTAGCAGCAAAGTGGTTTGCAAAGTGTTTGCTTTCACTCAGCCTGCTCCTGATTGCTGGTTGCAACAGTTCCATCCTTCTGGTTTAGAGGCAGGATTGTGTCCCCAGATGAATATCTCTGTCGATGCGTGTTTTTTTTCGAGTTTCTGATTCCCTACTGGATATAGCCCACTTTTGAAATTCTTTCATTATATGACAAGTTCGCCTGTGAATGTTTCTGTTATGACCTGAGAGATGCATTTTAAATTTCCTTCAAGCCTTGTTTTGGGTCTCAGCTGCCATCCGCCAACGATATCCAGACTAACGCTAATCAGTAGGCTTGGTCTCATACTGCCGATGAGGAATATGTCTGTGCTGGAGGTCGGATATACGACTTGTGAAAGCATTTGTTTTGCTGTTCACATCCCCCAGGAGAGATGTAGTCCAATAAGTTGCTTCTAGCTCTGAGAGGAGGGCTGGCCGATTCCCCCGGTCCCAAACCCAGGAAGTTCAGCGTGATCTGTTCGGATTGCCAGTGAAGTAGACAGCCTGGTGGTTCCATGGACCAACATATTCCAGAGGTCTGCAGTGACCTAAGCTTGCACGAAGGTCAGTGACGACAGGATCGAGAGACGAGCCTGATATGTGGGTTGGAAAGCTCACTAAATTTTCGAGGTTGAAACTGCTAAGAGTTCATCAAAATCCTTCTGTATAAAATACTGGTTGAGACCACCGACAATAATACTGTGCTGACAATTGTGTTGCATTAGCAGGGAGTCAAGGTTGTCGTCCATCAGGAAGTTGAACTGGGAAGCACCCTGCTATTGAGGTCTATGCATTGCACATAAGAGTATTGAGGTATTATAATTTATATAATTAATTTAGTATACATAATTTCAAGATGACCAGAGGATGAAAACATCAATAGGCTGGGCATGCACATATTCGCTGATGCACACTGCAACACCCACTCCAACATAGGGGCCTCGTAGCCTGGTGGATAGCGCGCAGGACTCGTAATTCTGCGGCGCGGGTTCGATTCCCGCACGAGGCAGAAACAAATGGGCAAAGTTTCTTTCACCCTGAATGCCCCTGTTACCTAGCAGTAAATAGGTACCTGGGTGTTAGTCAGCTGTCACGGGCTGCTTCCTGGGGGTGGAGGCCTGGTCGAGGACCGGGCCGCGGGAACACTAAAGCCCCGAAATCATCTCAGGATAACTTTGACCCTTACCTGTCTCGACGCATCCATGAGGTATAACGTTAGTTATAGCAAAGTTATCAGGAGTCCTGTCATCTAGAAATGTTTCCAGCACGTCAAAGACATCAGAACGATGATTGTTAACAAAGGTGTGTTAACAAAGGTGTGTTAACAAAGGTGTTAACAAAGGTGTGTTTGAGATCGCCAACATCGGTAATGAAGCTCCTGATGCTAGAAGACATTATGTCCCTTGACTGATCAAGTTTGCGTGTTTTCTGAGACAGTAGACATGTATGGTGGTAGACCTGGTTGCTGGTGTGATGGTGGTGTGTATATCTGCTGTTCTGAGGAAGGCGCAACGCTACCTGCAGGGCTTGGGCATGAATAGCAAGACTGCTGACGAGTTGAGTGTGTACCAGATTCGAGTATTTCTTAGATTGACCCAAGAAGAATTGCGCCTTCTAAACATTTGTTCCTCTATTCAAATCCCTTTTGATTTGACACGTGTCCACTTCCCACTTCTGGTAGCAGTGATCACACTTAAGATCACTTCAGCAGTTTTCAGCAGTATTCCCCCTGCGTTTGCATTCAGAGAAGGGCCTTACTATGAGGCTGGGAAGTTGTACAGTCTGATTACTGCCACTGCTAAGCCGCCGATTCAAGAATTCAGACCCGTGTTGAGTGTGCTGCTGGTGTTGTTAGAGACGTAGTGCCTGATTATGGACTCTCCTCTCTCCTCTCGCTCTCGCTCTCGCTCTCTCTCTTTCTCTCTCTCTCTCTCTCTATCTCTCCTCTCTCTCTCTCTCGCCCCCTCTCTCTCTCTCCCCCTCTCTCTCTCTCCCCTCTCTCTCTCTCCCCCCCCTCTCTCTCTCCCCTCTCTCTCTCTCATCTTCTCTCGATCTCTCCTCTCCTCTCTCTCTCGCTCTCTCTCCCCCTCGCTCTCTCTCTCCCTCTCTCATCCTCGCTCTCTCTCCCCCTCATCCCGCTCTCTCTTTCCCCCCCTCCCTCTCTCTCTCTCTCTCTCCCCCCTCTCCCTCTCTCTCTCTCTCTCCCCCCCTCCTCTCTCTCTCTCATCTCTCTCTCTCTCTCTCCTCTCTCTCTCTCTCTCTCTCTCTCTCTCTCTCTCTCTCTCTCTCTCTCTCTCTCTCTCTCTCCAACACCTGTCTGTCTGATGAAGAGATAAAGAGAGTTCAGAGAGAGAGAGAGAGAGAGAGAGAGAGAGAGAGAGAGAGAGAGAGAGAGAGAGAGAGAGAGAGAGAGAGAGAGAGAGAGAGAGAGTGGAGAAAGAAAAAAGTGAAAGAGAGAGGGAAAGATAAAGGGACACAGAGACAGACATTCAGAGCATAAAAAGACGGAGATTAACAGATAAGCAATTATTGTCTTGAGAAACTCAACTGAAAATCAGAAAAAAATTAAGTAATTACAATATTTTTACAGGTAGCTCTAATCTTGCTCATCTTCAGTTCCTTCCTCAACTCACACACTCGCATCGCAGTTCAGGTGTCATTTTAGCTAATGCAAAAGTGCGTTAACTATATGCATAATATTCACACCAGAGACTAAACACAAACACTCTTCAGCAAGTTGGAAATTGTGAAAATATTCTTTGAGTTTTCCTCCCACAGCCACATTTCCTAAGTAGGCTACTTTTCAAATTTTCATGGTAGTCTGCAGAGCGTAAAACTACTTCTTTTTCCTAGGCTTTCTGATTTTAATGGAAGCTTTCATGGATGATTTCTTAATCTAGGTTCTGTGTGTCTCTGAATACATTTTTTTTCGTTTTTTTTTATTCAGAGCTAAGATTGCCATCACACACTCATTGAAGTCAGTTTTTCGACGCTGGGCAGAGAAAATAATCCCTTTAAAAACAAATTGAAAGCGAGAGAGAGAAAATATCAGCTGTATTATTTTTTGTGACTGAAAAATATCTAAGCACGAGAACACCGGCCAGTTGCTCCTTTATCCCAAGTGTTCATAATGCAACAAGTTGTGTATGACGTCGTGCGAGAGAACAACTGTTGGAGGCACAGCACTTGGCCGTGGACACTTTAGTTTAGTTTATTAACCCATACATATTACTTTTACTTGTGCACAGTGATATTACATTAGCGTAATGTATCAATGAAAACTCAGTAGAAAAGCTATGCAAATCACAGAAAAGCTATTTAACCTGGAATTCAGCTGAATCCACTAAGAGTTCTGAGGATCCCAACCCGAGCTCATACCAGGGCTTTCACACATCTGCTCTCCCCCCTCCCTACCTATGCTCTCTGGCTTTGTGGTCAAGTACTTGACCTCCAATGCTTCTCGTCAAATACACGCTTTTAATCCATTTAATACCTTTACTGCATACTTTTGCTTTTCTCATCACCTAACTGCATGTACGTGACCTCCCAGCTGTATAAATCTGATGTTCCCTCCTATATAGAGTCATTTACGGGCTCACCATAGCCCGTGCTCAATGGACACTTCGTTCTGAGTAACTAAATCTGAAACAACAACAACAACCTGTATAGTGAGCCTTTCGGGCTCACCATAGCCGGTGCTACATGAGAATGTCGTTCCGAGTAACTGAATCTAAAACAACCACAACAACCTGTCTCCTAGTACATGGATCACTGATCACGATGACGACGTTATCCTTGCCACGATGAACGACTGACAACTTTTTTTTTTTTGCAAGGATATTCCTACCTAAGCCTCTTGCTGACCCACTAAGTGTTGTTTGTTTCTGTTTGACTTGGGCGGAGTATGAGTATTTATGACTCGTCACGAAATTCTGCCTATTTGTTTCCGCCTCCACCGGGGATCGCTTCAGTAATATTTTGCCATAAGTGTTTAACAACTTCTGCTCTGTTGAATCTAAGTTGAAATCTTAATGGGTTTGTAACTGTGCACTGTGTTCGATAATGTTCCAGTGGTCTGTCGGTCATTTCTCCACAGTGTTGACATTTCCTCTCATCTTCCGGAACCTGTAAGCCTATTTCCCCGGTTTCGGTTTCAAGGCCCTAGAGTAGGCAAGCAGGGGGTTGAAGACAGGGGTGAGGATGCAGAAATCTTGAGTGAGGAACTGGAGACGAGGTGAAGAGGGGAGATGAAAGATCGGTGGAATCGGCCCAACCACCGTGAGTAAGAATTGCAGCTGGTGCTGCGGTTTGGTGGTAAGGTGGAGTGCTCATGGGTGCTCGCTGATGTGTCTTGTAGGAGGCAGGGCTTCTCGTCGCGGTGTTCTTTTCAGCATTGCGTTGGTGTTCTACACTTTCCTAGATTTACTCGAGCGCAGATCGTCGGTGATTTTCTTCTTCCCCGGCCTCCTGGCCGGTTTGTTGGTCTTGCTTTGCGTTGATACAGTGAGGCTATCGTTGGAGGTAGCTTCCAGCCGGAAATCTTCAGTTGTATAGGGGTGCTGCAGTGAAGGAGGTGGTGTTCCCACAGAGACGTCCTCATCTGATGAATCAGCTGACTCAGAAGTAGATGCAGTGAATCTTGAGGGATGAGTTCTTGCCTGTTGAGGCTTCAATGGGACCTGCAGCTGATTTAGGGCGTTGAGAGGGTTCACACACGAGAGGTGGAACTGTGGTAGTTGTCGATAGAGGAGACGTCGGCGTCTGGGTGGCTTGTGATGAAGTTGCTGGAGGAGCAGGCTTTGCTGTTGAGAGTAGATCCGTGAGCACGGCGGCGTTCACGGTGATGTCCTGGTTAGTAACTGGAACTGTTGCAGAAGTAGGGGTCATAGGAGGCAGAGTCTTGTGAGCTGTAGGTACCTGAACAGGATCTGAAGTCTGCATTGCAGTGGCGGAATCGTCGTCGTCGGATGTAGAGTCGGCATCCTCTACAGGGTCAGTTGTTGGAGTTGAACCTGGAGCGTTGAAGACTTCTTCAGGAATATTGAAGGTAGGGAGACCATTTGCCTTATAAAGAATTTTTAAAATCCTCACAAATTCTCGGGGGTTATTGCCAGTAGTCATTGTGGCCGTTGCTATCAAAGCTTTTACTGTGCCCTGCCCAATCAGCTTTGCCTTTGGTTGGGCGGGTTGGGGTGGAGGCGGCGGTGTCTGGCTCGATGAGTGGCCGGGTGGCTGGGAACTGGGTCCCCATTGGCTAGTAGAGGCTATACCAGGATGGTGTGCGGTGGCGATAATTCCTCCTCCCTGAAGCTTCGGGAAGGTGGCTGCTTGGATGTTGAATGTAGAGGCTGAGGTGGTAGTTGTAGAGCTGGAGCTGGTGCCTGCTGCAGAGGTCGAGGAAGCTTTGGATTTCTCCTGGGTCTCCAAGTTTTTGATAACTTCTTGTCTGCGTGGACATTGATGGGAGATTGCGATATGTTCGCGGTTGCAGAGCAGGCAGCATGGTTTTTTGGAGGTGCAGATCGAATAGTGGTGGTCTTTCGCGCAAATGCTGCATTTCTGGATGGTCTGTTGGCACTTGTTGGTTTGGTGAGAGTAGTCGTAGCATCGGAAGCCCGGGAACCACTGAGCCGACCACCAGGGAGCCCTCACCGTCCGGCTACAGCGACTACGAAGTCCCAAGCTTGTCCTACTGACAGGGACGGCAGCAGCCTTAAGAGACAGCTGACCAAGACGACGAGGCCGACTCCTAAGACTCGACCGGCTCCGAAGACGAAACCAAGGAAGCCGACCACGATGACTCGACCTACTCCGATGCTTTAGTCGATGTCACTAGCTCTCCTGCCCTCATGCGGCCGCTCGGCACCATCTCCCTTTCCAGATCCCGCACCGGCACCTTCCAAACTGACAGGCTCCCATACTGCCTCCTTCGGGTATATCTGACGTGGCAACGTACTTTCCAAAGAGGACAGACAGCATAACTCCATAATCCACAAGAACAACTGGTAATATAAGTGCAGGAAAATAAGACGGATCATTCGCATGGTCGTTTCTCAAGAACGCCTCGACCACCTCTACGACTATGACACCCTGAAGAAGGAAATTCGACCAGACTACCAACATCGGGGAACTTGGATTAGGAAACCAATCCTCTTGTAACACACCGAACATCTCCCCCAAGACCAGCCGATTGCCCTGCAAACTCCTGTAGCACTCAACTTTGAGCGACGTGTTTACCCCATCAATTCACCGGTCGGACCAGCCATATGGTCTTGGAGTGGATTGACGCCTCCACGAACCCCATCCTCACACCTCCAGTATCAGCTATTGATACTGATAATGGCTCCAAAAAGCCTTCACTTACGGCCTCACCATAGCCTGTGTTACATGGAAATTTTGTTCGAGTAGCTAAATCTAAAACTACAACGACAGCTTGTCTCCTCAGCACATCTCCTGTGCCAGGTGAGTACGACAGGCTCACCATAACCCATGCTCCTTGGAACGTTTTGTTCCGAGTAGCTGAATCTAAAACAAAAACAACCTTTCTCCTCACCTGAGAATGAACCTTGCAAGTTCGAAACGTTGTGTAAATTATTATAAGTATAATACATTCTTCTGGTAATTTTTATTCTTTTAGTCAACCATGAACAAATATGACATTTGGAGAAATCCTCTTCCAGTTAAACCAAGATGCAAGAGCACAAGTCAGAGGGATAGAAGCCCTAAACAAGAAAATAATCAACATGGAATGGTAAGGGAGATAGTGGGAAAAATAAATAGGAGAGAGAGAGAAAGAGAGAGAGAGAGAGAGAGAGAGAGAGAGAGAGAGAGAGAGAGAGAGAGAGAGAGAGAGAGAGAGAGAGAGAGAGAGAGAGAGAGAGAGAGAGAGAGAGAGAGAGAGAGAGAGAGAGAGAGAGAGAGAGAGAGAGAGAGAGAGAGAGAGAGAGAGAGAGAGAGAGAGAGAGAGAGAGAGAGAGAAGAGAGAAGAGAGAAAGGGAAGAGGAGAATTGAAAACAGGAGATAAAGCGAAAAGATGAGAGAGGAAAATCTCAAGCAAAAAGTGGAAAGGTGAGTGGCGAGAAGAGAAAGCAGCAGGATTTTTGGAGATGATGTGTAAGGGAACCTTTCCCGGAGTGAAGACGGTGAGTGGCAGCTGTGAAGGGCGAGATCACAGCAGGACTGGAAGTGACGGGCGAGAGTTGGCAGTATAAAGATAGAATAGGGAGTGGAATGAATAATAGAGGAATGAATAATAGAGAGTAAACAAATAATAGGGTGTGCACTGAATAATAGTAAGCGGAGTTAATAATAGGGAGAGGACAAAATAACAGGGAGTGCACTGTATAATAGGGAGTGGGTTGAATAATAGGGAGTGGACTGAATTATAGGAAACAGATTGAATAATTTAGAGTGGACAGAATTATTGGGGGTATGTACAAAATAGGAGGGAGTGGACCAAGTAATAAAGAATGAACATAATATTATGTAGTGAAAAAAATTATAGGAATTGGGCAGAATAATAGGTAAAGGACAGAATAATAGTTTAACATTGAACTTATCTAGAGGCTAATAATACCACGGTATTTAAACAGATACGCCAGTATGCTGCTGGTATAACAATTTAACAAAGAATATATCTCCAATGTATATTGCACGTCACAAATAAAACTATAATATGATATGTCCAGAACTCAAGACTTAGCACGGCAAAACAATGAGTTACCCTCCTGGGTTGATGACCAAGGATACACGATACTATATAACTGACTTATAAAACAGTATCTTGTCTGTTCAGAATATTATAATATCTAAGTACATCTACAGCCACACTTTCTTGCCTCCGCCTGAAGCGTCACTCAAAACACAGTAGCCAGAACGCGTCTGTAAACGCTCCTTCTGACACTCTGACATACGGAGACAATCTCTCCTAAACACGTATAAGTCTAAGTGTGTAATGTCTTGTACAATCAAGAAAATAACTCCGTATACAGGAATTTCCTAATACATAATATAATTCAAGATAAAATAAAATACAAATTTGGCATCAATGACCGCAACACCAACTCCCTTCACTCACTCGTCCAGTACAGGTCCACCCATCAGGCAAGCACATGGTCATATCCTATACAATATACAACAGTATACCGCATGCTGTAACATACAATACACTGCATAATAATGGTATATCATAATATAACACATAATTAAAGAAACACAATATGCACACTCCACACCACATTTGACAACTGAGGTGGGATAAATATACATGTATTCTGTATATGTATTATCAGTGAGAATCAGGTAATTACCTGGTTCGTAACATACAGAGAGAACAGAATAACAGGGAGTGGACAGAATAATATGGACCGAACAACAAATTTGGGAGTGGACAGAATGATAAGGCATTGACAGAATATTAGGGCTGGGACAAGTTAATAAGCATTGGACAAAAGGAAATGTAATAGAAGAGAGAATAGGGGGCGCAGAAAACGGTAAGAAGGGAATGAAAGGTTAGTGAAAGCAGCTAAGAATATGAAGAGCCGTGAACAGAAAGGAACAATGACAATATAAATACATGATCACAATGAACACAATTATAACTTGATAAGTTACATTCCCCTGATTGCAACTTATCGAGTCCAACCGTCCAAGTGGTTTCACACCATTCCTTTTCCCCGCCCTATCCAAAATCCTTATCCTAACCTCTTCCAAGTGTGATATAGTCGTAATGGCTTGGCTCTTTCCCCAGATAACTCCTTCCTTCCATCCCTTGATTTTAGTATGAATACACATTCACCTGACAACTCTTATCTAGCTCTATCCTTTATACTTATAAAAAGGTACTTTAAGAATTTCTGGCACAGAAAACATTTCCTTCGATTTACCTGTTAATAAGGAACAAAAATGACTGAACCAAACCTAAGCAAATAAGCTAATCTTTCCAGGTAAACTAGTATAATCTTACCATATAAACCTGACTATGTATACTATTGCCCTTATTAAATATGAATTTTACGTAAAATTTTATGTAACGTCTCTGAATCTATTTACCCACTTCTGAATGTGTTTCTAAACATAAATTTTAATAATATTAAACCTTCGAAAAACCTAAAAAACAAACAAAAAATGCCTAAGAAAAAGCATAAACCATCGAAACTGCTGTAAGTTTAGAGCACTGGAAGTTACTACAGTGAACCACTGGAAGTTACTACAGTGAACAACTGGAAGTTACTACAGTGAACTACTGAAAGTTACTATGTGAACCACTGGAAGTTACTGCAGTGAACAACGGGAAGTTACTACAGTGAACCACTGAAAGTTATTACAGTGAACAATTTGAAGTTACTAAGTGAACCACTGGAAGTTAGTACAATGAACATCGGGAAGTTACTACAGTGAACGACCATAAACTTAGACAGTGAAGAACAAGACACAAGTTTGCAGGGGGATGATGTCCCAACAGGTCCCACCAGAGACACACTGGCAAGGGGATGATGTCCCAACAGGTCCCACCAGAGACACACTGGCAAGGGGATGATGTCCCAACAGGTCCCACCAGAGACACACTTGCAGGGGGATGATGTCCCAACAGGTCCCACCAGAGACACACTGGCAAGGGGATGATGTCCCATCCTGTTAGAATATTAGTAACTCTCAATCCCTGGCGAATGCCCAACTACTTGGGTTGCATAGTAGAGCAACGGTCTTGCTTCATACAGGTCGGCGTTCAATCCCCGACCGTCTAAGTAGTTGGGCACCATTTTTTCCCTCATCCCATCCCAAGACATCCTGATCCCTTCCCAGTATAATATAGTCTAATGGCTTGGCGCTTTTTCCTGATAGTTCTCTTCCCTTCACCGCTTCCCCACCTGCCCAAGGAACTGGTGTTGCGGTGCAACCCGTTCTCGCAAATTTAATAAGTCAATATTGACTTATTAAATATGTGCATACGCGACATACTTAACATAATAGATACCCTTAAAAAGATTCATAGAAAACACCGACCTTACCTAACCTACTTAGTATGTTAAGATAAGCATCTTATTGCTTCGTAATTACAATTATTACCTAACCTATAATAGGTATAGGTTAAGTAATAATTGTAATTACGAAGCAATAAG